AGTAACTAACATAATTCCCAAATATGTACAAATATTTTATATAAAGGTTTTTAGTTCATGTCTATAGAAAAAAATCTGTTAAATTTCAAAATTATGAAACAAAATTTATTCTTGAATAACTCTACTTACAAGGGGAGCCTAGAAGATTGTCATCACCGATGAATTTTGTGGATGTGTAGTATTTGTACCAAAGCTGCATGACTCGCTATTTGGACATTAGTGAGATTGCGGCCAAAGTTCTCATCTCTACGTTCACGTTGTAGAGATGAAAACTTCGGCCACACCTCGCTATTCTCGAGAAAATCACAATTAAAGTTTTTCTAGAACTGTTAATACCTATGCAGAAGCATCATTCATATGTTAATGGCATGGCATGATTAGTTAAGGCATTGTGTAAACAGTGTTACTATACAGGTTTGAATCCTGTGTACAATAATTTTTTTTCTCTTTACATTTATTGCATACAGGATTCAAATCCATATAGCAATGCTTTTTCACATAATGCCTTAACCATCAGGCCACACTGTGAATATAGAAATGGGACTTCTGCACAGGTATTAATAGAACTATTTATAGAATTTCCTAGAATTATTACTTCTAGAAAAATGCGATTAATTAGTGGGTGATATAGTTTAATACAAATAAATACTGCACATCCACAAAAATTTTGTTGAAATCAGTGATGAAATCTTCCCTGGTTTCAGTTTTTTTTCTAATTTTTAAAGCGTTTTTTCCCTATAGCATGCTTGTTTTTAAAATATTTGGTTTAATGAGTCATTTTTGTTGCATTCATATTGATAAGTAGTTTTCAAATGTGGAGCATAAGACTTTTTCTAGGAGATGCAAAGAAATAGATCAATAATAATAATTTTTGAGTTAACTCTTCCATGTACAAGTATCCCTTATACAACATAGTTTCACTCTAACACAGTTTGAAAATTAGGGATATCCCTGTAAAACAGTGTTTTCAGTTTCGCACTAACACAGTTCAAGAATTTGTGATCTCTACAAAATATCACAATTGTTAAGTGCAAACTCCTCTATTTGATATTTTTGATTCAAGTAAGCACGTGTGTTATCTCAAATTTGCACACAGATTTTAGAATGTTGAAATTTTCAATTACCTTTCATCAGGTTTAATGAACACTGATAGTTCAATTTTTTTTTCTTTGTTGTCGTAGCTTTTCTATCAACCAGGTGTTGTCATCACTTTCAGATTTTATCCTTTAAGACTGCCACTGTGTTTTGGTTTATAGATTAATCTTTGTATTTAGTAAAGTTTATTTAAACATTTTTAGGTAAGTGATATTAATCTTTTTATAACTATAAATAAATAAGCATTTGTAAAAATGACAAATGAAGTACAGTGGTATCTCGGTACTCAAACTGTTTCCAACTCGAACAATTTGGTATTCAAACACAAATTCTGGAAAAATCACTCTGTTCTTGATTGAACAAATGTGACCCACTAGAACAAATTTTTAATTAATAACATATTTTTGTTTTGTCATACATAAAAAAAATCTTTATGATAATAAAAAAAATGGTGTTGCTGATATTTCTGATCAAGATAAAAAAAAAAAGCTCCGATATGACACTTTGTAAAAAGAAAATGCACTTGTTTACCTAAAATTAATATTAACACATAATACAGTACTTTTAATTGTGATTGTTAATTAATTATTGATTGCTTTAATAAACATTTCTCTTAGTAACGAAAAAGAATAGTATATTTTTAAACTTCTGGAATCTAACTCATGTTTTGTATTAGTCCTCTGTTTCGTATAGCATGGATTTATATAACACGATAATTATGTTCCAAAAAATGGAACATAATTATCGTGTTATGTGAGGGATACCTGTACTTGCTATTCTATCTATTAGTTTCAATAGTATAACATTAAAAACACAACTTTCATGTTTTGTTTTTGTTAACATTATTACATTGTAAGTTATTATTGAGGTTGTAACTACATTGTAGTTATTATGTGATTTTTATTTAGATCTTTGCTATTTTACTTTTTGTTTGAAATATAATTGTGTACCATCAAAATACTATAATAAAGTCTTAGGATATATTTTATTTTAATAAAACTAAGATAATATAGATCAGTATGCTTTTACAAAAAGTATAGCGAGCATAATAATTTTTTTTTACAGAAGAGAGGAGCATCTCTTTAAAAAGTTTGATAACTCTTGATATAGATAAATGAACTTTTTCAAATTCAGAATTATTATGCTTATTATTATTTTTTTATTTAAATTTATATTTCAGTATTTATTTAGCATTTAATATATCTATATTGTTTTTAAAAATTTTGTGTGGCTTTACACCATTTTTATCTTTATGATATTTATGAATTTTGTTTCATTGTATTCTGTTTACAGATTTCAATACATATATTCAAATTTGTAAACAGAATGTCATGAAACAAACCACACATCATTAACGCCATTTTCAAATAGATTTTTGTCAGTTTAAAAAATAAAATAAAATTACAAAATCAGAAAAATTGTAGAATTTTTGTTAGAAATATAATCAGTAGATGTATTTTTACCATTAAATTTTGATTATTTCTTGTTTTATTTATATCATTGTTGATGGTACAGCATCACTAATATAGCAAACGGCAAAACCCTTTAAGATTCAGTCTTTTCATTTTAAACTTCTAATGTTTTCGGTCTACTTTATTGACCTTCTTCAGGAAAAATCCTGAAGGTGGTCGATAAAGTAGACTGAAAATGTTAGAAGTTTAAATAAAAAGACTGCATCTTAAAGGGTTTTTGCTGTTTGTTGATTTTTCTAAGTGCAGATAGAGAAGAGGCTATACCATCTGCAAAAACCTCATTAATTACATTTCTAATGAAAATATTATTATATTTATTATATTAATCTACAATATTGTTCTGGTTTAGGATGAGTTTTTTGGTATTCACTAACTTAAACTGGCCACGCTATTTGGACATTAGTGAGATTGCGGCCAAAGTTCTCATCTCTACGTTCACGTTGTAGAGATGAAAACTTCGGCCACACCTCGCTATTCTCGAGAAAATCACAATTAAAGTTTTTCTAGAACTGTTAATACCTATGCAGAAGCATCATTCATATGTTAATGGCATGGCATGATTAGTTAAGGCATTGTGTAAACAGTGTTACTATACAGGTTTGAATCCTGTGTACAATAATTTTTTTTCTCTTTACATTTATTGCATACAGGATTCAAATCCATATAGCAATGCTTTTTCACATAATGCCTTAACCATCAGGCCACACTGTGAATATAGAAATGGGACTTCTGCACAGGTATTAATAGAACTATTTATAGAATTTCCTAGAATTATTACTTCTAGAAAAATGTGATTAATTAGTGGGTGATATAGTTTAATACAAATAAATACTGCACATCCACAAAAATTTTGTTGAAATCAGTGATGAAATCTTCCCTGGTTTCAGTTTTTTTTCTAATTTTTAAAGC